CAATCTTATAAACAGTACATTTGCATAATGACTGAAACCAGTTTATAAGATTGGGGAAACCTGCAGTCAGCTGAGACTGAAGAAGTCACTTGGATGAGTGACGAAACGTTTCTCCCAGAAAACGCTACGTCCAGACGAACAGAATCAACTTTTGGAGATTTTTTTTCCTGGATGATTGAGAATGCATCAAGACATGCAGTATTGGATTTCTGCATCCTGGCTCAAATTGCCTGGATGCTCCAACCTGCATCAGGGTCCAGTGCCTGTGGACAGAAGTTTTAACTTTTTTACACGAGTACATTTGGAGGAAGAACGAAGAAGTTCTGCACACCAACATCTAAACTGAAAATGGGAAATGTCTGATGGAGGCTGCTAAAAGAGGTTCTCTGGGTTAAGTTGGTTACTTGACATTCGTGAACTTGAATGATCTCTCAGCTGTGCTCCTTTTGATACAGGCTGCTGTTAAAATGAAATTTCACAAGTCAATAATTCTGACAAAGAAAAACCTTTTTATGAATATTTGCCTTCAGGAACTAAAAACTAATTAGCAATAACATTCAAGCCCTAATTTCAGTACTTTGTAGAAACCCATTTAATTATAGTTTTGAGAGTTGTTGGGAAAGTCTCTGCAGGCTTTACAAATCCGGATTAGGGCAGTTTATCCCGTTCCTCCTGACAGATCATCTCAAGTTCCCTCATATTCAATGTGAACTCTGTGTGTCTGATAGTACTGCGCTGTATAATTCCAGTGCTAAAACAATGAAATCCTTGGATGAGTGACGAAATGTTCCCCCCACTGAAAACGCTACGTCCAGATGAACAGAATCAACTTTTGGGTCTGACATTCCTTTATTTACACGGCGAGAAGGTGTAAGACCCACATAAGCACAAAATAAAAGGGTCTGCTTTCACTGAAACCAAAAGGAAATCTATGCTGGAGAAATGTTTGCTATCTCTGGGTAAACTTAAGTAGAGTTTAACAGTTTCTGTGTAGTAAAGACGAGTTGCATAGAAATCACTTTATCTTATTTGCATGTGATATATGTGTGATTGGGAAACAGTAAGGACAGCTCAGGGGGAGTGAAAGTCTCCAGCTGGGATCAAGCCAGGTCATGGTAACGCCATGGCTCTTCTCTTATATTTACTGTGCAAATGGTTGTTATCTTTGACTCATGTTCCTGTAATTTATTAACACCATAATACACCATTTTATGTTGTATATATATATATAAAAAACACAGAAGGAAGGTAGAAGGAGCTCATAATCACAATCTCATTAGCAAACTAAAATATATTAAATGTCTTAAATGAGCTCAAAGGTTCTTCATAAAAATGTAAAAGTGGCATTGTAAAGCGCTTTGGGTGCCTTGAAAAGCACTATATAAATCCAATCCATTATTATTATTATTATTAAACGATGGCTAGTCTCTTGAAGAGGTATACCAGAGAGATAGAAGTGAGGAGAATAACCTTTCAGTGGCAGGAGATCAATATGAGAACAGTAGCCACACCAAGAAGGATGCAACACATAACAGCAATGCTCAGTGGCTAGTGGAGCTAGAGTAGAACAGGCACCAGTAAACATCACAGTGGCAAACATCCAAGAAAAGCTAACTGCACTCCATAAGCATCTGGCAGCACAAATGAATGAATTGCTAATGGTTGAGACACACCTGGAATGGCTTACTAAAGGCTGGACAGTCCTGATCCCAAGGATCCCCCAAAGGGACCGGTCCCATCCAACCTGCATGAAAACAACACGGAAGCTCCTGCCAGGTGTCATAGCCGCTAAGATGAACTGGACGTGGCTCAGTACATGAGCTGGGTGCAGAAAGGATTGGCAGGAACATCAGAGGGGCAAAACACCAACTAATGGTACATACAGAAGTCGCTTGAAACTGTAAGACCA